TAAGCGTGGACAGCTCGTGGATAGTCAATGCGTGGGCTTTTGTTTCGTCGTCCACATTGTTTTGTCGATTGTACTTTTGCAGACCGACAACATACTGCTTCGACTCACTTGCTTGGGCAGTGTTGGGTTCGACATTTTTCTCCTTGAAGTACTGTCTTGGCGGAGTCGATCGTGCGCGCTTTCCATCCCAACGAGTTCAGGTGGTGAAAGAAATCTGTGCAGACCTCTGTGGAAGCGATTATTGGGTCCGTGCCTTGCTTGTGTTGCACAAAATGCTTCGAACTGCTTTTGGTAGGTCGCATACGTTCGGCGTGTTGACGTGGCGCGAAACGACTCCTGGATGGTTTGCTTCGTCGGTGTTCCTTCCATGATTTACGAGAATGGAGCTTTGAATGGAGGTTTCAATGAAACCCCCGTTTTTGGAGGTTTTGTCCAATCCGCCTCCCGTTACGTTAACTGGCTGTGATCATTTGCAACTGGCCAGCAGCTGTACGTTGCACTCGACGACAAGTTTAAACCTTCCGTTGCAGCGAGGCCGGTAGAAGCTCCACGAGGCGGCAAGCCTCAAATTTCAAGACGTGAAGATGAATCGGGAGACGCCGTCAAGAACAATTGCAGAGTCAGCGGAAAGGTTGAGTCGATCATGCCCAAGACCGCCGGGCCACCTATCAAGACATGACGATCTGCGTTTTCACGGACACCAGTGACCTGTTTAGGGGTCAGTGTGTCCGTGAAAATGCCGTCAAGAACAATTGCAGAGTCGGCGGAAAGGTTGAGGCGATCATGCCCAAAATATGATTATTTAGTGTTGTGGTGGAAAGGGGCACACATTGAAGGGAGGTCACAGTTAGTGTTATAAGCATCCCCACTGTGCAGATGCTAGCAGTGGGGATGCTTATAAACACTGTGTGCTAATAAGTATGGTGGTTCACGTTGCGAAAGTACGTGGATATGCAGAGCTGGAGAACGTGGTTGGTGTCGTTTGTAGAATGAGGGGCAATTGGAATCACTACTGGAGGTAAGTTGGTGTTGGCGTAGCTACAGTAATGTTCAATCAGGACCTGTACCTAAGCGCAACCATTACTCTTAGCTGCATTCGTACGTTTTAAAAGTCGCAAACGTTATTGTGTGGAATGGGCTACAAAAGGGATCCCACCATTGGTCCTCATGCATCATGGTGGGGCGCCGGCTGACTGCCACCGACCACAACAGTACAGTACTCCTGCTGGTTCGTGCCGTTTTACTTATGCTGATCGACACCGTTTCGTGTGCAATGTCGGCTCGGCAGTATTTCAACCAATAGAAAGCCGTACATGTTAAATGTTAGTGATACGTTGCTGCTGCGTCAACCGCCTCGTCCAATCGAATTGATGCTCATATTGCATAACTTTTGAAAGGTCCGACCACTAACGCATATGTAACCTTGAAGATGGTGTATCACAAACCGATACTATTGGACAGAAATTATATGATGAATACGTATAATTGGCTAGTTCAAAATTAACGATTTATGATTGGCGAAAATTAGTCATACAAACAATGACATTGGTTGGCCTTTCGCATTATTCATCCATACAAATTCGTCCAACCTCGGCGTCAGCACATTTGACCTACAATAGCGCTGCCTCACTATAGATCGTTTTTCAAGCTGTTAAAATGACAATGTGGATCGCCTCATTTCCAAGCACAGCGTGAACGCATCATAGACATAATTGTATACGACGAATAGGTCATCTCCGACGAATAGGTCATCTCCACACAACAAATACTACTGTAGTACGAAACATGACGACAATTACTCCGGTAAATTTCACTGGATAAACGCTACTACTGTGAATATTGCTCTGCTGACAACTCGACTTGATGACCAAACGTGACATGTGTTCCTCAGCAAGCAGGGCGGGGGGTGTCGTTGAGCTTGCCGTCGCGCAAGATGGTGCCGACGTTGGCTCGGCCGTATCCGTAGCGGTTGTTGGGCCAAGACGCGTCCGAGACGTTGCCGCAGTTATACGCGCCATCACTAAAGAAGGTGCCGTTGGGGAAGTACCATTTCTCAGGCTCAGGCTTGAGCACTTCGCGATCGGCGGTCTTGGTCAAGTAGCCATAGATCTCGTCGTAGGTCAAGTCCGACTGGGCGCTCTTCAACAACGCGACGACGCCGGCAATGTGAGGGGCGGCCATAGACGTGCCAGACATGTGCACATACCCGTCCAACACCCTCGAGTTTGCGGAGAGCGTGGGGTAGCCAGGGGCCGAAATGTCCGGCTTGACGATCGTCAGGGTTTGGTTGTTGGCGTCACGGGGGTAGCCGGGACCCTTGGAGCTGAAGGGAGCCAAATAGTTAGGGTCTCTCTGTGCGGACCCGACGGCGCCCACCGAAATGACGCGCGTGTACATGCCGGGGTTGCCAGTGGTCCCGCATTTAGGACCAGAATTTCCGTTCGCGAAGATGGGGGTGATGCCAGCCGCAAGCCACGACGTCACCATGTCTTCGTACACAGGGAGGTAGCCATTTTTAGACCCCCACGAGTTGTTGATCACGTCCGCGCCGAGCTTGCATTCGGGGTGGGTGCCGTCCAAGCGAGTGGGGCACAGCATGAACTCGCCGCACTTGAGCAACCCTGCAGGCGTTCCCTCTCGGATATACAAACCCAAGCACGCAATCCATTGCGCCTCAGGAGCCACGCCAATGCCGTGGCTACCCACCATGGTGCCGATGGTGTGGGTGCCGTGCCTGGACGAGTCAACGGGAAGGGGGAAAAGAGTGCCGTTGTACGGGTTGAACCACCCCTTGTTGGCGCGCCAGTTGTTCTTCAACGATTCATGGCGGTACTCCGCACCCGTGTCGATGGACCCCACGACCACACCCTTGCCTTTGTAGTACTTCCAGATGTCTGGAGCACCAGTGGTGCTCACGCCCCACTGGGGCACAGTCGCGTTCACGTCGCCGGTTTTAACGGACACCTCCTCATTCAGCACAGGTTCGATCAATTGGACATTGTCGGGGAAGGCGACGCTCTTGACGTTGGAAAGGCGAGCCACTTGGTCGATTTGCTCCTTGGTCAAGCCACGGCAGATCGCCGCGGGGGCGATCCAGAAGTGTTCGCAGTCGGCCGAGTCCAGCACCGAAGCGGACTCCGTTCGTGTCGTGGCAGAGTGGGCCGTCAAGGCGTCGTACACGGCTTGGCGGCGGTCTTCATGCTTGGATTCCGCGAGGCTCTCAAGGTCCGCCCCGACGAAAGAAATGAGCACGTCGGACGTCCCCGTGGTTTCCAGCGAGCGCAAGACACCCACAGACACTTTGGCATGAGCAACGGTAGCAGCCAACGACAAGACAGTAGCGACTTTCATGGTGGAGTAGAAGGTAAATTCAAGAATGACAACCACTTGCGAAGGTGTTTTCTGCGGCTGTGAAGTGGCGGCACAGGCGGCGCAAAACCCAAAACCAGACGGACCACGCCATCTGGTTGCTAATGTCCGACATGCTGCTTTTACATAGTACAATTCCCTAATTTAAGTCCAGTAACACAGTACCACTGTTATTTTGACCGAAATACAGTTTCAATTTGATATATAAGGAACTTTTATGCTCAGACCACCTCACCTCGTACAAGGGCATCTCAGTGGTTAGCGAGAGCTAACCACTATGGATGCAGTTAACCCCGGAGATTTAGCATCGTATGCACTCACCGGGGGTCCCAGGTTACAGGGCTACTGGCGAAAAGATGTATCCGGATGTAATTATTCCTTGTACATATTCCAAGATTGAGTGTGATTAGGTCAAAAGTTGTGTGATATGTAGGGCCGCGGTGTAGTAATTGTATCAGTACCTAATGAATATGCAGGCTGGTCCTTTCCACCCATGTCCTAGACTGTGTTAACAATGATAATCCAAACTCAATTAACCATGTCCTACCGGTAGACTTGTACAGTACTCGGACCCTTGTTAAGCTAACGTTACTAACGATTGTAAACGATACAATGGATGACTGCCAAATATCTCGCAAAATTAACCATACGTACTGTAGTACTTACTACCTTGAAGTACTACTGCAAGTTAGGTGTACCTGTATTCCAGTGGCCATATGGTGTTCGATGATTTACACCGTGGATGTTAGCCTGGAGCAACGCGATCACTGAATCATCAGTCTTTAGTGCATGTCAGTTCCCACTTCGATCCAATGAGTTAGATGATGAATCGTTTGGACGACATGAAACAAATCCAAAAAGCTACCTCGAAGTATGTATGGTAATGATTGCAGCCAAGTCCCTGCACGAGAAAACATGGACCCTGGAAATGTCTAGGACTTGTACCACGTAGTAACTGATAGGAGATGTCGAAACCATCCGGCCGTACTGTAATTGACCATGCAGATCTACTACAGTAGTATCTGCAAATCATCTCCCCCATCTCACGCAGACTGCTCTAACGACACATTTGGGCTC